AAAGAAGAGATCGACAACCTGATCAGGAGCATGGAGAGACGATGTAGGGCTGTAATGAACAGTAGAGGAAACCATACCCTTTATTAAGTAAAAATGGTTTTATCTTTTTTTTAATTCACAGTTTAGAATAAAAAAAATGTGTGTATTTTGTTGAGTTCAAATCAAGGTAAATTTGAAAAATTCAGTAAATTTCGCATTTTTATTTCCAATACGTCCTGTAAATTATTTGTTTATTTTAATTTTATTGTATCAGAAATGCAAATAATAAAATTACTGACGATGGCTGGATAAAATTGTAATATCCCTAGACTTTTCCGGTGTGTGTATATACTGATAATTTCTGATTTTTGCCGTTGAAGCGCTGCGGTCGGAATTTGTTGAAATCAACTGAAATGCACCAAGCGTCTATTTGAATGGCACTGATAAATCGGAATTTAAGTCAGCCATATTGATCCCCCATCCAATTCCACCAAAGTTTGTTGATGTGCTCCCCTTTTTTAAGTCTTATTATTCAAAAATAGGAAGACTAAAATAAAAAGTGATTCAGTTTAAGACGGCATACGGCCTTGAACTTGCACAAAAATCCGCCAGGTTTATTTTTATTAATCCCAACCAACTCACGACGTCAAAGTAGCCTTCATCGCAATTTGTTTTGAAAAATTTCGACTTTTATTTGCTCAATTAAGTTGTCACAAACGCCAGCCGACAAGAAACATACACTTGAAAGAAAATTCAAAAGTAACATAATGGGACTTGACAAGTACCAAACCGTTTCTGTGTTTTATAATTAAATTAGCTCGTGTTTTTCTGTACTTTTTTCCGCTTTAATGTTAAAAAAGGACTGTATACAACTCTACAAATTAGGCATTCTAAATTATGAATGAAAATTCTCGTCTGTCAATTATACGAGGGAAAACAAAATGTTGATATTTTGGTAAAAGTTTGAAACACCCTGTGGAATATGTTAAGACAGTAAGAAATTTAGAAATCACTTTATCATCTAGGTGCATTCTTTTTCGATAGTTTGTTTCTTGGTTCATCTCGATAGCTTTATTTTTCTTGGAGATATTCGTTTTTGAAGAAGACACTACATGTACTGATTTCTTTAGAAAATCGACAACTATGAAACTATGAACCCTTCCCCGACACAAACGGTACATTGTGAGACAGAAAATTGTAAAGAGAAACAAGCGCTATAATATAGGATACAACATTTTAATGAACAGTGCTTTCCATAAAATCAATAAAATGAAAAATATACGAAATAATATACATGTACTGATTTCTTTCGAAAATGGACAACTATGAAACTATGAACCCTTCCCGGACACAAACGGTACATTGTGAGACAGGAAATTGTAGAGAGAAACAAGCCCTATAACATAGGATACAACATTTTAATGAACAGTGCTTTCCATAAAATCAATAAAATGAAAAATATACGAAATAATATAAATGTACTGATTTCTTTCGAATATCGACAGCTATGAAACTATGAACTCTTCCCGGACACAAACGGTACATTATGAAACAGGAAATTGTAGAGAGAAACAAGCCCTATAACATAGGATACAACATTTTAATGAACAGAGCTTTCCATAAAATCAATAAAATGAAAAATATACGAAATAATATAAATGTACTGATTTCTTTCGAAAATCGACAGCTATGAAACTATGAACTCTTCCCGGACACAAACGGTACATTGTGAAACAGGAAATTGTAGAGAGAAACAACCCCTATAATATAGGATACAACAATCTAATAAACAGAGCTTTCCTAAAATCAATAAAATGAAAAATATACGAAATAATATATGTACTGTGTTGTGGTCCTCTTCAAAAGGGCCAACTTTTTGAGTGGTCTTTCGCGGTGTGGAATTAATGTACACTGTTGTTTTTAATATAACTTAACTTTAATTATGATTAAACTAATTACAATAGTTACCCTGAGGAAACTGTGAGAATTAATAATGTGTTGAAGAGTAAAAAGAGAGTTGAAGAGCAAAAAGCAAAAGAGTGTTGAGCAAAAGAAGGTTTAAGCAAAAGATGTGTGAGGGCCTGTCTTGCAGTTCCTTAAATAGCATCTAAGCTACAGAAATGCCAGAGGCGTACAGTACAATTTATATATCCTTAATCTAATATTCAAAGCAGTGGACGACACTGCCCTAAACTTCCATTGTTTAGATAGACAAACGTCTGCGAAAGCTATTTAAAGTTTTTATTAGAGATGGGACATTCCTAAACTAATATTACAAATTTAATTAAAATGAGGACGGGATTATAACAACTGATTTCTTACGAAAATCGACAAACATTTTTTAACAATTATGAAAAAAATGTTAGTGTCTTCTTCAAAAGCGAATATCTCAAAAAAAAGCTATCGAGATGAACCAAAAAATAAACTATCGAGGAAAGATGTACCTAGATGATAAAATGATTTTTAAATACCTTGCTTTTTAACATATTCCATAGGGTGTTTCAAACTTTCACTGAAATATCAACATTTTGTTTTGCCTCGTATAATTGACAGATGGCAACTTCCATTTTTAAATTTGAAAGAGATATTAAAAAGTCAAGTAATTTAGCAACAAATTGCTTAAAAAATCATCAAAATCGGCCCACTAGAACAAAATATATTAAACTTGAAAATACATCAAAATTTTAAGGTGCTGATGAGTGTATTATTTATTTGAGACATCACATTGGAGTAAAAATCATCTTCTAAGTAGGGTCTGGATTTTTACTTCTTCTTGCGTTAAAATGGATGGGCCATTAATTGTAGACCAACCTGTTTTATGTGACAGTTTTTTTCCTACTCGCTTTTTATTCTCGTTTTTATTGCGGTGGTCTATATTTTCTTTTTTTGACACAAAAAAAACCGAGGAAACCATCTGGTTTTTATGGCTCTACCTCATTTTTATTATTTTATCAGGAGAAACCATAAATAAAGAAAATTGGACTAGAAAAATTTGCCATAAAATATATACCTACGGTATAAAATTTGATGGATACTGAGATTTGACATAGTCAATGTAAAATTACTCTGATCGAATTATGTATAACACCCCGAAAAGTATAAAAACTTATTTAAAATTCGCCCTGTATACATTTATATTTTTTTATACAATCTATACTAATATATAAAATCCTTAAGTGACTGACATACTGATTAATCACGATCCTGCTCAAACCACTCAATGTAAGAAGCTCAATTTTGGCATACAGGTTGATCCTAGGGTGAGGTTCGATAAGAAGGGATTTTTCGAAATTCCAGTTCCAAGGGGGTGAGACCACCCCTCAAATATTACAATATTTTTTATTTAAAACACGGTCAAGTTTCCGAAAAAAAGCTTAAACACGTATATTTTATTTTGTTTTTTTACATATTTTAAGATTTTTTAAAAATGTATACAGGCTGTTTCGAAAAATCTGGTCATTGATTAATCACGATCCTGCTTAAAGCGCTTGATGGAAAAATCTGATTTCTGGAAAACAGATTGACTTTAGGGTGTAGAGGTTCGATAAGAATGGATTTTTCAAAACTCGAATTCTAAGGGGGTGAAACTATTCCTCAAATATTAAAATACTTTTTATTTAAAAACCGGTGAGTTTTTCGGAATAACTCTTAAACACGTATATTTTATTTTGTTGTTTTACATATTTTAAGATTTTTTATAAATTTATACAGGGTGTTTCATAATATATGACCATTGAGTAATCACGATTCTGGTTAAACTGCTTGACGTTTAAAGCTGATTTTTGGCAATCGGATTGACTGTGGGGTGTAGAGGTCCGATAAAGAGGGGTTTCTCGAATCTCAAATTCCAAGAGGGTGAAAACGCCTCTCAAATTACAATATTTGTTATTTAAAAAACGGTTAGTCTTTCATAATTTATTTGTTTTTTACATATTTTGTAATTTTAAAAAATCATACAGAGGGTGTTCAAAAGTTGGGGCTGGCAATGCGATTCTGCTTAAACTGCTTGACGTAAAAGCTTATTGGCAAACAGTTTTTCGAGAAGTCAAATTCCAACTAGATGAAACTACCCTCAAATATTACCAAGTTATATAATAATATCGCCATATTGTTTTTTCTCATGCTGACATAAATGTGAGAAAATTTTATCCAGTTTGTATGTTAATGGAAATTCTTGCTTTGCTTTATCATCACCATTACAAATGATTAATTCGACGCGAACGAAGTCGCTGGTACACGCTAGTAAATTATATTTGTCATAGTCATAAATCACATTTTGTTGTGAAAGTTTATTATTTTCTTTGATAAAATTCAAATTGTATGTATTTTTGGTAAAAATGGAGTTTCGGTATAAATAAAACTACCGTATGATCGAAAAAAAACCGGAGTCAAAGACGGGTGGAGAATGACAATCGATGATAATTTTGGAGAGGTCAATCTCTAGGCGTCAGTCACTAAAAATTGGCCTAAAACTTAACACTAATTATAAAAAGATTAAAAAAGGATAAAACATTTCCAAAGTCACAAATCTATTGCCAAAAATATATATTTTCTCTAATTTTATACTACATACAATTTAAAAATCATTTTTACTCAATATAAAAATAAATTACAACCTTCTTAAGGCCAACTAGCAGTAAGCGCCATTAAAAAATGGCGTCTAGAGCTTGACCTCGCCAAATTTATTATCGATTGTCATACCCCAGCCCTCTTGACGCCGTTTTTTTCGTTTGTATGTTATTGTCGTAATATAATGTGTGTTACTTGTATAGTCAATATTATTCAAAACTTATATACAAGACACTTCGAACAAAAGCCTAGAGAAAAAATATTTTAATTAAAACATTTATTTTTAATTAGTGAATTCTTCAAAGTTATTATAAATAAATATCAAATCTAAAATATAGTTATTTATATTTAGAAAATCAACCAAAAAAACTTACTTCAAAAACATAGGGAACGTACCAAAATTTGGGACTAGACGAATACAATACAAAGACACAACACAAAGTCAAACTTACTACAGTCCCATGACGTCTCGATCGCACTATAAATTTTAAGCGTTTTTAATTATTTTTCGAAAAAAAAAAATTTTAGTATTAATTTTGACCGCCCTGTATATCGACGGTGTCCACTTTTCCGCGGAAAATCGCGACGACGACGCTCAGACTGGGACACGACGCCGAACGAATCGACGGACGCCTGTCGGAAAACTAGCCAGAAATTTTCTCTGCGCGTTTCCTATCAAACCTTACCCCCACCCCGACGCCCCACCACTGGCAGCGGCGTATCCGAGGCAACGACGCCGACGCCGGGCGTCCTTTGTTCCGAGTCGCGCGAGTCGGGCGTCGCGGGTTAGGGCGAATTTTGGGAAAAGTTGAGAAAAAGTGGAGAAATACTTTTGTTTCAAACATACACACTCCAACATACAAGTAGACGTTTTGCAAAAAGACTACGCATATTCGTGAACTTCTTTCAAAATTAGAAATTTTGATAATTATTCTACACTTGCGTGCATAGAAATCGGCCCAACGCAAACTTTTGAAGTTAACTATATATTTTTTAGAATATATTTGTCAGATTAAGAAAAAATATATACTGTTTGAAAGACAATTTTATATTCTTTGAAAAGAGTTTAGAGATATTAATTTGTATTTCGGTTTCTTTGGATTAAAATTATTAAATTAGTGCATGAAACAAATTATCGTTTTTTATTACTAAGATGTATGCCATTATTTATTTATTTATTGATTGACAATTAACTAAAATAAATTTTCAATAATGGGTATGATCCCCTCTTGCTCTTACAACATCTCTCATACAGTTTGACATAGATTCAATCAAGTTTGATATACTCTCCTTATACCACTTTTCTTATACTGCAACAATGAGCTCTGGGATAGAGGTTGGGGCTCTTTGTCTAGTACGAATCCTTCGTTTTAGCTCATTCCATAAATGTTCTATCGTGTTTAAATCTGGACTCCATGCTGTGTGCATTCCAAAACCCGAAAACCGACTTCGGAAATGTAATCGTGTACGATTCTTGATGTGTGTGCTCTCGGATTGTCATGCATAAAAGTGAATTCACTTCCAGTGTAGTAGACGTAAGGTACCACATGAACTGCTAAAATCTCCTCATTATACCTAGCACCAGTCAAACCTCCTCTCCCGTGCCGACGGTCGTCCCAACGGATAAAAACTGGGTCGGTTCGCGCAGTCATAGAAATTGTACCCCACATCATGCAGAAACCACCTCCATAAGCAATCCGCTCCTCAATGCAGCATTCTGCGAATCGCTCATTTGGCCTCTGGAACACTTTTCTTCTTCGGTCGCTACCATAGAGGCATATACTGGTCTCATCTGAGAATAAAACACATTCCCATTGTTCTAGTGGCCAATTCAGATGTTTCTGGGGTAAGTTTTGGACCAATTGCGGGTGTTTTGGGGGTCATGTTACTTTCCTTCAATCTTCGTCTTACTATCCTCTGACTAACAGTCACTCCTCGTGTTTCACGGAGCTGTTGTTGCACCTGAATAACATTAAGATACCGATTTCTTAATATTGTTGAGACAATAAAACGGTCATCTCGATCCGTTGTATATCTCTTTCCACCAGTTCCAGGTCGCCTACGAAAGGATCGAGTCTCCTCATATCGTTCGCACACTCTTCGAACCGCTCCGCGTGTCATATGCAGTTGCGGAGCTACAGCTGTCTGTTTAAGTCCATTTTCAATTAAAGCGATTACTTTGGCAGCTTTTTTACGTGATGTATGCATTAAATTGAAACACTAGTCAACCCAATCAATGAAAGAGAACAATGTGCAAATTTCGATTACAAACCCATATAGCACGTCCAAATGAAATTACGTTTCTACAAGGGAGACACATGAGAAACAACATATGTTAAAGTGACCCTAAGTGTTCATCTACTTCTAACATATACATATGAGATACACGCAGGTTTATATTGATAGAATTGTGTGATACAGTGTTTACTAGTTGTATACCGTATGCACTCAAGATTCTAAAGAGTTTTTGTAACGTAACAAATAATTATTAAAATGATGAAATCTGACGTCGGTATATGAGTGGCATACAATGTATAAGTCATATGTATGTGTGATACTTCAAAATCATAGTTGTGCTTATAGTACACACCTTGTAAAAAATTGACGTATACACACAATATAGACACTTTGTAATAGTGTACTGTTGTGTCTACATTCTAACATGAAATGAAGGTGTGCGCATGCGCGGATAGCCTCAGCGTAGATACACTCTTCCTTTCTCCTTTCTAGGAGTGGTATGTGTTTAGCAGCCATTATTGTTTTATCATTCGGAAGCTCTATATAAATGTTCTGTTTGTGTGTAGTTTAAAAGAGATTTTAAGGTAAGTACAAGTTTTAATTAACTTGTTACACCTTCCTAAGAGTATTATAAATATTATAGCAGCGACTCTTCCCTTGATCGATACCCAATTTACCAAATTTTGACTCCAATGAATGAAAACTCCAAATATTCTCGTATAATGATAAAGAGGTTAGCTGAGTTAGCTCTGCAATATAATTTTTTTTCCATTTGAAATAATAAAATCTAAATGACCCAGAGAAAGAAAGATTTAAACACTTCAAAGAACTTCTTAAACTGATATTCGGTAAGTTATTGATGGATCAATTATACAGATATGTTTAATATTCAATAATCAGTTTCATATAAAATTTAAGGGTGAGATTGTTAATCTGTAAAATAGGATTGGTTTTTAAGTCCAACAGAGTGCTCGATGACATATGAGTATGCTAATAAACCAACTGCTTGTATGGAAAAGAGGAAAAACCTGAAAAATGACTAAACGAGGTCCACCAAATCGTGGCGATATACCAGAGTTTACCATTTTAGTATGTTGTTATACTAGGTACTATATTTTTAATACATTTTGATACAAATTCTGTTCTCTTACAGTGTTTTCTTACTTCTGGTTTCTGCAGTGTAAATAATTATTATTGTGTTATTTGCGCTATTCCGTTTCATGATATAAAGAAATATAAGAATTTTATTTTTTAACCACTTAATCCATTTTATGGAAAAAAATGGTACATTTAATGACAAAACAAAAATGGAACAATTTTATAGGCTACTTCTCTTGAACTTACGATCGAGATACTTTTGGAAAATACAAAGTTTTGCCTTCCTAATTTTCGTTCTAAAAAGATATAATTGGTATCATTGAATAAATATTTCTTAAAAAGAACGAAAAGTTAGACATCAAAACTTGTATTATTTCCTAAATTCGTTCATAAGAAGTAGTTTTATCTAGCACAAGATGTATATTTTTAGCAAAACACATACGTATACACGCGGGTAGTCACAACTGCAATGTGTAAACATAGTTTAAACGTAATACAAAAGCACTGTGTATCCTACGGCACACTGTGTATTCCTTACTTTGTGTACAGTTGGATCAATGGATCTTTGCGTGCACGTCCACCTAACGTCATACGAATCAATCAGTCGTCAAACTACCACCAGTGCCAGCGGCATTTTATTTCATACTTAAAAGAAATAATATAATTTCTTTTTGGCAATATTTGTAAAGTTCTTGGACGTTTTTAAATTAGAATAAAATAATTGTTTATGGAAAAGGTCATAAAAAGGGGAAAATACAGAACAATAGTATGCCTATACAGTATAATTCAATAGGATAGTTGTTACAAGGGACAATAATTGGTGATCGAAATATTGAGTTGTTAACTAATATATTGAAATCAAGTTCTATACAGTATTAGATATCTAACTTTACAAGATTTTACCCAAATTACTATTATAGAAAGTAGGTTAAACATCAAAAGTCTAAATATTTTGTTAAATAATACCTTTCAACAGATAATAAATTTAATGAAAATGAAAAATAATTTATTAATTTTACAAGTAACTTGACAGTACAATTATTTGTTTAAAAAGGCTCATGGATAGTATTTAAATTAAAAATTTGAAAAATGTACGTGTATCTTCTGAACTTTCCTCATCACTGACATTGATAAACATTTGGGGTACTTCTTCAATAATGACTTCCTATCATACCAGTCTTCGATTAATTTTTCAGTGTGAACCACCTTAGCATGCCATATTTCTGGTGTACATTTCTCTAATGCTTTTCTCCACATATCTGAGCACATTTTCATCTTTATGTCCATTTTCACCAATGTGGGCATTGTAAAATATTTGAATCTGCCCATATCATTTCAATTGCATTAAACTGGCAATGGTAAGGTGGTAATCTTAATACTTCATGACCATTTTCTTGTAATAATTTATCTGTTTTATATTGTTTTGTTTTGTGAATTTTTGCTATGCTTAATAGTTCAGGTTTAAACATTTTTTTATCATAAGGTATATTACTTTTCTCCAACCACTCAACAATTTCATATTTCTTCCATGAGGATGATGGCTGTCTCTCTAACTCAACAGAATGGTATGGAGCATTATCCATTACAATAAGGGAAGGTTCTTCTAAATTTGGGATGAGCTGGTTTTCTATTTCTGCATTCATTTCCCCATGATAATCCATTTTCTTAGATTTTGAAGCAAAAATTAAACCAGCATTTTTAACAAACCCTCCACAGTGTCCGGCATGCAATACAATGAAACGTTTGCCATCAAAACCACCTGGCTTACGAACACTCTTAACACTATCATCCTGCCATGATCTCATTTTACTGCCTTTGGAAAAGATCCACGTTTCATCTAAAAATACGAGTTGACGAGGAAATTGCGAATTTTAGGTTTTGTATTTTCTGAAAAAGGCTGCTCTCATAGAAGCTATATTGGATGTCTCCATTAATGCTCGTCTGTTATCATCCTTTTAGGTATTTAAATCCCAAACTAAAATTGAGTGTTCGAAGACTTCCATAACTAAATGTCAACAGATTTCTCTGCGACGCAACTCCTCGTTTAAAACATTAATTGTAACTTGTTTCTCTGAAAATATAAATTTAGTAAAATAGTTCAGTAAAATAATATTGGTACTTACTTTGTGCATACAAGTCATACAGAATATTGCGAACCTCCATCTTCAAACCTTCATTCAAGTCTTGAGTTTTACATTTTTTCGAGGTCTGTTCTTCTCTCGGTGTTGAGGGTAAAGCTCATTTCGATCTTTAAGACATTTTAATGCTTGAAACCGTTCTTAGACCTGAAAACTTCAAGCCAGGCATCAGCAACTCTCTGTAAATTTATTAGTTAGGCACTTGTATTTTTATAAATCAAAATATATATTTACCTCTTGAACAGCATTCAGGGAAATTAGTGGCCCCTTATTCTCTTTTTCAGACGTAAAATAAGAGATAAGATTTCCAACAAGGATACGTGCTTGAGAATTTAAACGTTTTCCTGGCATTTCAATGTTAATGTTAAATTATATTAACGAATCACGAAAAAGAAATTTTGAAAGAACTGTTGTTAAATCACAAAAAGTTTTCACAAAAGCTAGCTCGCAATAAACGATGTCCAAAGAAAATAAAGATACAAAACAACTTTCTTTCAAACTTTTTGACAAAATGACAAAATCATAAACATAAACACCGAATGACAAAATGTCATGCATGGATGCTGCCAGGGTTTTACAGATGTACGCACGTCTCCACAAAATGTACTAAATTGTGGTACAAGTTACTTTTTAGAAATTATAGATATTAAAGCTGTCTTTTTTTAATAGGATGTAGTTCTTGGATCCCTTGTAAAATCAAAACAAAAATTATAATGAAGAAATATTTTTTTATTTTTTTAAACTTCCCGCCATGCGTGACAATTTAGTCCGTAGTTAAGTGAACACCAGTGTACCTTTATTAAAAAATATACTAAATTTAGTACATTTCTTTTAAAACGAGAACCCGAAAATAAATAATCGATTTATTTTTGCGTTCGCCGGCATTGACTTTAAATGTTTAGAAAAGAAACTTGAGTGATCCTTGGCTAGGTGTTTTCCTTGTCTTACACATAACTTTAGCTCCGAGCTGTATGTCGGATAACTATGAAGACATACGATTCAGTATTTCTTCGAATTGTCTTGAGAAGTTAGAAAGAGAGCGTATAAAAGGGAATTGATTTGATGTTAATCATAGTTTTGTGACGTGCACGCAAAGATCCGTTGACCCAACTGTATACGTAAATGCTATACTGTGGCTACATTGTGAGGCGGACGTTTAACCTTTGTGCATACGTGTTGAGCTACAATGTGTAAACGTAGCATATTTACATTGGGGGAATTGTGTCACCCTGTGTCTACATCTAATAATGTAAACACATCGTAAATGTGATTTGATGTGCTGTATGGGAAGTAACAGTAAAGTAGTACAGTACTTCTGTCCGTTCTGTATCCACGGGGTATCCGTGAGAGGGGAAACGATATTCTCTCCATGTTTTTCGTAAAAAAATAGACGACGCGTCCCATCAATAAAAATTCGACAAATTTGCAAGTAGCCAATAAAATGAGTGGGCGGAGCGATTTGCGGTGACGTACTCGTCAAGTCGACGTATAAAATATATTGCTGTTTATTTAAATGTTTTTTGTCCGCATTCCTTTCATAGACACAGATCCAGCAGACGAACTGTAATTGCAATATTTGATAAGTTTTTTATTCTTATTGTCACCACTACACAAATGCCTTTCATTTGTTTGCCCGTTGCTACGCATATAAACGATAAGTACTTTGGATAAATTTATACTCATATTAAAGCATGCTAAACTGTCTTTGAAACAGCTCATATTTTTTTCTTGGTCTGATAAATAGATTCTAAAAGACACAGTTAAAGTCAAAAGTTTACAGTGGGCCGATTTCTATGCACGCTAATTTATTATCAAAATTTCTAATTTTATATAATATTATATTTAATATTATTTTTATGCAAATTCTTTTAAATGGAGTATGGTTTAGGACAATTCTTACAAATATCTAAATTATTTTTTTTCATAGTCGAGTTACTTTTATAAACAATATTCAGAAATTATTATTTCGAATTTATTACGAGTAGAAAAAATATTGTGCTGGGTTGGCGTTGGTTTCTATGTAACTTGACAAATAAATAAAGCTGTCTCTTTAGTTGTCAGTTTTGAGTCAATATTTTTTAATTCTCTTTCGCGTCGATTGCTGATTGAATTGGAGCCAGAAATGGCTCAAAACGAAAGAAGTAAATTACCAACAGATATTCAGGCTGAGAGGACAAACGCCATATCCAAACTACTTCCATTTAAATCCCGAATAACTTATGAAAAGGAATACAAAAATTTTCAAAATGGAAGCAATTAAAAAACGTGCGAGAAGAAATAAAGTTTTTAACCTATCCTCGCTGTTAAAGTATCATTTAATCTACTCTTGCGGTTAAAGTACTATTCTATCTACTATTTTTGATAGATATAAGGCAATTTTAACAGTTGCCATGGAAAAAAAGTTTATTTAATAGCTGTATCATCTCAATATAATATATCAATTCCTGATCCCCAACACGTAGTTGCCTGTCTAGAGATCCACAATAAATCCTCTTCTTCCTATGATTCCTGGAACTCGAGCATGTACAAAAATGTGGCAAAAAGAAGGAAAGATCCACAGAAACCAAACAGACGATCATAAAATTCACTTTTATCCCGCGCAGGAAGCAAAACGTTGTACGTACGTAGGGAGAATCCGAGGGAGAGTAGAATTTTAAAATGAAAAACGATCTTTTCCCCAAGGAAAACGTCATTATTTCTTATCTATTAATATCTAACTATTTATATCTATTATAAGATAACATATTTCTTACCTATTAAGGCTAGGTTAGTTTAGCGACAGCGCTGCGAGGAAATCCGTTTGTTCCAGATTATTTCTTTCAGTTTTATCGAAGAAACTAAAAAAGATCTACCCCTAAATATAATAGTATATTGTTTTATTAGGAGTAAAAATTAGACCTTTTGCGGCACGAGGCTGTACGCTTGACACTGTTTGGCATGTTTGACATAACAGGCGAGACACAAAAAGTCATTTTTACTCATGATCAATGGCTAAAGAATACAAGGACATATAACACCCGAGACAAAATTGTTACCATGGCACCAAACAGTGCCGTGGCCATATATTTTTCTTAACTTAGCTGCCTGAAGGGATATTTATATTTTTGATAAATGTTTTGACTACGCCTATGGTGTAGGCGGTGGTATCACACTAATTAATTGCGAAAAAAACGTATTAAAATGTTAACAAAAGGTACAAGACTAGTATCGACGTATAGCACATATCAAGTAGGATAGAGTATCAGAAAAATAATTACCAAATTCAATCAGAAAACGCTAAAAAAGTGGGGTGGACTGTTTATTTCCTTATGGAAATGCAACTCCTGGCTCTTTCTTATCGTTGCGGCTTTTACACTCCCAAGTAGCATTTTCACGACTTGCGATCCACATGTTTACTAAACACAACGTTGGATTAGTTACAAAAAATAGTTAGCTCCGTACCTTGGGTATTAAAATAAATGTAAACGTCGTTGTAACGTTGTGCCGACGTTGAACTAGTACTACAACAAAGTAAAAGCTTCTGCGACGTCGAATAAACGTTGTCTTGTAACCTTTATCGCATAAGTGATCGGTGATTCGGACAACGTAGTTACAATGTTGGTCAATAAAGAGTTTTCAGACCTATCCCAACGTTATGCAAACGTCATCTGTTTTACTAATTCCAACGTTGTTTAAATTTCCTTATTCTTGCGTTCATTGTTCTGTTCAGTCAGACAGTTCAGTGCTGTTTTTGTTTTTATAAAAAAAACTTAATTAAAATGGGAAGTAAGAAAGGCACATACAAAACTAAATTTAAATATACATCGACATATTACCGATACTTTATCCACTCCCTCGTTTATTTAGAATATAGGGGGCGGCACAAGCTAGACTCTAGGATGACTAAATTAGGCAATCTTGCGACTAGTATACTACCTGTTAAGGCTGAACTGCGACTTTATTAGTCCAGTATGCGACTACTCGAACTACTCCATCTTAATCTCCAAAACAACAAAGTGAAAGCCGCCATGTTGTTGAATAAGAAAATGTTTCGTTCCTAAAATAGCAATTCCTGCTTTTTGAATACATTAACTTGAAATATTTGACCCTAAACAACACGCAGAAACAATTTTTTTCGACTGCGAATAAATTATTCTCATTTTACTAAAAAAAATTCAATTTTTTTTTTAAAACTTCTTTAATTTTAAGGCCCATTAGTATTTTTCAAAGTAGAAACAATACATTTATCAATAAAGTTGTTTACGTTTAGCTTTTTTGCCTTGGGTAACCAGTTACAGAGTTGGTTAAAGTGTTTCAATAATTATGATCTTCAAACATCCTCCACACTTAAATACTTTTGTTTTGTTTTCCTTTACTGCCATCTGGCATATGTCTCTAACTAAATCATAAAAATAATATTTTTACTATAATTATCCCAATGTAGAGTAAAACGCGACTTAGACGCCATATTATTATAGTTTTGTATTTCTGTGAATTAGGATTTTAAACAACGTTGCAGTTTCTACTAAATTAGGCTGCTAGCCAACGTAGATATCCAACGTCCTTTCGACCCAAAAATTATTCTTCAAATTAGTGCAGATTAGGGTTGGCACGAGGTTGTGCCGACGTTGCGCCCCGACGTTTGGTCGCGTGACACAACGTTGTCCCGACGTCCAAATGTTGCTTGC